GCGGGGGCGGGAGCGGGCCCGTGGAGTGTCCTCCTTTGGGAGGCACAAAATATGGTAACCCTATTTTACGGTATCATGAAGAGACACAATAGCATAACCAGCTCTTTTATGCCTATTCACTACAGTACTACTGCTATTTGTATACTATTCTAAGTTAGCATTTGGGAGTGGCTGATCTTTTAGATCTGGGCGGTTAGAATACTGAACATTTATGATTTTTAGACAGTCATGTTCTTGCTTTTTTGTCTCTGGTAGTAGGGTAGCTGGATTAAGGGAGGGACAGATCCGCAGGGTGACTTCAGGATTTTTTAACAGCTTCGCCTGGTACCGAGCAACCCGAGCCTGTGTGAGCCAAAGACCACCCTTAGTGTCCAGCAAGGCTCGGACCATATGGGGAACATACACTTGCACAGTTCTTTCCAGTGTCAGTTTTTTAGCTTCCCCAAGCACTAGAGCAGTAGCTGCGACCATCCTCAAACAGGCTGGTATCTCTTTGAAACTTGATCTAGTTGCTTAGAAAAGTAAGCCACAGGACGTTTCCAGGCACTTAATAGCTGGGTAAGCATTTTTAAAGGTACTTTTTTTCGTTTATGCACATACAGTTGGAACGGCTTAGATATATCGGGCAAACCCAGGGCTGGAGCTTCTATTAGCTTTTTTTTTTAGGATTTTTAAATGCTTTGTCTGTTTCTGGGGACCAGTGAAAGGAGTCATGATCTGCTTTCTTAACACATTCATACAGAGGTTTAGCTTACAGTTTAAACTCTAGAATTCATATTCTGCAAAAACTTGCTATGCCCAGGAATGCCTTAAGCCATTTATGGTTGCTGGGGATGGGAACTTGGCAGATAGCCTCTTTTTTTTTCATTCCTTCCAAACGATTTCTGCTTATTGCCTGTAGATGATTAGTGATTCTTCTCTTAATATGTGTTTATTATTTTACAAGGAATAAAAGTTAACCTTACTAAACATGAACGGTCACGAACACTCTTCTTACCTCTTTGGACACCTCATACCACATTTCCTTTTGCCCAGTTTTCTGCTACCTCCCCAGATCTTCATAACTTCTTAAAACCAATTGTCAATTGTTCACTAAGCTTTATAGTCCATTCCACTAACAGCCTAGGACACATCATGTAAAATTTTCTTTGAGTGCAAAGAAGTAAGAAGAGTGATTCTGACCATACATGTCCAGTTAGCTTCACTTCTATTCCCAGTAAAATCATAGGAAAATGTTAAATCAGAGCCCAAATAAGTAACGCATGAGCTGAGGGGAGTTGAGTGAAAATGTTACCTGTCATCTGGACTGACTGATTTGTGTATGTTCACATTTTCCAATTTTTTATCAAGAGCTATTTTAAAAAGCTTGTCTTTCATTGCTTCCTAATTGTACAGACTTTTACTCCTGAGGATAGATTTAGAAAAGGAGCACTTATTTGTGATTCCTCCTTAATTTTATTCCCCTCCTAATTTATCAATGGAACTACTTTTCTAGGAGTAAAATTTCCAAAAGCAGCTAAGTTTTTGAAAATACCTTTAAAAATCTGTCCATAGGTCGCTAAGTTACTGAAAATGGGACTTAGACACTTTTGAAAATTTTACATTCACTACTTTTTGCTCTGATATATTTGTAAAAGCCCCTTTCCTGCTCACTCAAGTGGAGCAGCCAAATGAAACGGGCAAGACCTCTGGATTGTTTCATTTTCTTATCGAGCAAAGTGTTGGGAGGAGAGAAGTGAATCCTAGGAAAATGCCACTATGTCAAATTGCCAGATTCATTCCCAATACAATCTCTGCTTTAAGAAGAATAATTCCTGGGACCTAAATAGGCTGACAGCATTCTTTTAATAAAAATAAAATGTAGCAAAGTACAGCAGGATTATAGTCAAGACAATTTTTAATTAATCCCCGGAATCTTTGTTCCTAACCCATGTATAAAGAATGTATTTGTCCTATGACCATTCAGTATATTTCTAAATGCACAGTCAGATATTTCAGATTTACAATAAGAAGAGTGGAAGAAATAAAAACCCATAAATCCATGCTAAGGAAACTCTCCCTGTTCCTATTTTCCTTCAGGAAATACACTAACACTCTTGTTTTCTTTGCATGTCAGCAGGCATTCATTTACACAGCTCCTCACAAGTCTGGAACAGGAGATAAGGGAATTTCTGCAGTGAGTCTGAGAGTTCCAAGGTCACAGCAACATATAGTAGATTAAACATTAACGTTCTGAGCAGTGCTATGTTGCCTAATAAAGAGAAATGTCATAACAACTATCTAAGAGGCTATGACACGTATGGAAGATCTTTACACAGACCAATCTCTTGACAAATCAGTCCCTCCTGACTGAATTATGGAGCCAGTACACAACAGGGCTGCAGCAGAAGAGGGTCACGTTTTCACATTAAATACGTAGACGATATTTAAACTGGACATCGTGAGTGGGCTGCATCAAACCAAATCCCCATCGGCTCACGTCTATCGGAGGGATCTCTTCTTTCTCGTTAACTAGCTCCAAGTCATAGTAAGACAACATCAGGAACACAAACAGTTTTATTTCATTGATAGCAAAGAACCGTCCAGGACAGATTGAGGTTCCTGCCCCCCAGGGCATGTTAAAGTATTTCAGCTTTTTCCCATTCTTGTAGAAATATTTTTTGGTGCCATCTTGGTTCAGGAACCGGTTGTATTTGAAGGTGTGAGGCTCAGGATGGACTTCGGGGTCCGTCTGCACTGCGACGTAGGGAAACAGGGCTACCCTGTCCCCTTTGCGGAGGGCGTATTCCCTGCCATTGGCCATCTTGAGATTCAGGTCCTCAACCACTGCTCTGATCAGAATGGGACCTGCTGTCAGGCGCAGGGTCTCCTCCACTGCGCTGTCCAGAACAGGGGTTTTCATTAACATGTCCCTGGTGATGTTAACCATGGGGCTGCCTGGCTTCACTTCCTGACCAGCCTCTCCTAAAACTTTGTCCACTTCTTCCCTCACAGCCTGCATTGCTTCGGGATGCTTCATGAGATACAAGAGAAGCCAGAAAGAGCTTGGGCCCGTATTGCCTTGGGCCGCCCAGAGAAGCATAAACATGAACCGATCCCTCATGTACTCAGGCACCCCAAACTCTGCCAGGAACTGTTCTTGGTCGCTTATCCATCCGCTCATGTTATCCTTCGCACGGCTGTTCTTCACAGAAAGCATCTTCCAGAAGAGCCTCTTCAGCCTCTCCGCTTCCATTTTATCCTTTGGGGGCAGCACGGCGTAGGCCAGGCGGGGGAAGAGGCGGTCGTACTTCCGGAACTCATCAAACAGCTCTTCGGACTGCATAAGATCACGCTCCTTGGCTTTCTTCTCACTCTGTGTGCCTGTGCCTGGCTCGTTTCCAAACAAAGCCAGGTAGCCAGCTCTGAAGACAATGTTGTAGCTGTAGTGGAAGAGCCCATCCTGCTGCCAGGGTCTCTCTTCTCCTGAGTCCCTGTTGTGAAACATGAGGGTCTGCAAATTCTCCATCATGGCTTGAGTCATGACCACTAGTCCATCTCCCATCAGGTGCTTTGTGCTTGACACCTGAATAATCTTATGGTCACTTTTACACGGGTGATACCCAAAAACCCTGGAGACCAGTTCTACTGCAAACGCCTCAAAGTCGAGTTTGGCTCTTGGCGCCTTCACTATGGCTCCGAAAGAGAGGGGGTCCATTAGGAAGGTGAAGTAGTAGCCTCCAATCAGCACCGTGAAAATGTCCCCGTGTCTCCTCTGCATTTTTTTCAGGAACGCTGCGCTGTCCTTTCTGAAATCCAGTGCGTACCCCAGCCACGGAATGTGGCCTTTATCCAGTGGCGGCTCCATGGGTCTCCTCCTTCGAAACGCTCCCAGGAGATATAGCCCACCGAGAATTGAGACTAACAGCGCACAGAGAACTGCCGTCCAGAAAGCCATTGCTAGAGAGCTGTGCACCGGAGCAGGGATTCCAGACAGACTGAAAGGAAAGGTTAGGATGCTGTATTTATAAATCGTTTCTGGCAGATGGCCAATGACAGATTGACTCTGGGCCTCGTTCTCCGTTTGCAGCTAAGATTAACCCTTCTGCTGCAGAATGCTGAACACTCCAGTTTTTATCCACGTCTCGTTTACTAAAAGATCCACAAACTTTTAAGGCCAGCATGGGCAGTGTGTAATGGAGACGGGGGGAGACTAAGCCTCCCCAAACCTCACGCTGCTGGGGGCAGGACACTGGGGTATTTGGGGTTCCCAGAAAAATCTCCCCTCACCACAGCCTTGGGGCCATGGCAGGGGCACAGAGCTTTTCTGGTCTCGGGGCCTCAGTGGAGGGGAGGGAAGAGCAAGCAGGGGACAGGTTCTGGGGGAGAGGAAGAGTGGGGGCAGAATGGGGGTGGAGCCAAGGGGAAAGGGGTGGAACAGCGGAGGGGCTCCTGGCTTGGAGCTCCAGCCAGGGCCGAGAGCTCTGCCTCAGTCCCAGCCAAGGCTGAGAGCTCGAACCCAGCTGGGACCAAGTTTTCAGCCCCTTCCCCCCCGCCGTACCTCCAACCGAGCTCTCAGTCCCGTCCCCCCCACCCCACCCCAGCTGGGCCCACGAGGTGACTACTTACTTTTTGCTAGTCACCAAGCTTGGAATAGATCAGAGATCGGCAGCCTTTGGCGGTTCGCCCAATGGGGGCTGCAGGAAGGGCGGCCAGCACATCCCTCGGCACACCATTTTCCACAGCCCCCATTGGCCTGGGATGGCGAACCGCGGCCCGTGGGAGCTGCGATCAGCTGAACCTGTGGACGCGGCAGGTAAACAAACCAGCCCGGCCCACCAGGGGCTTTCCCTGATGGGCCGTGTGCCAAAGGTTGCCGATCCTGGAATAGATCATTTTACTTTTGGAAACATCCTCCTAAGGCAAGGCCCTATGAGTTTATACCTCACCTGGCTGGGGCTCTACAGGTGTTACCATACTACACATAATAGACTAGAAACTGACTTTAAATAGGAGTGAACCTGACACTTTTAAGTCAGTTTCACAGTATTGCCAACCCCAAATGTTCAAAAATCATGAGTCGGGCTCACCAAAAATCATGAGATTTTCTTAAAAATCATGAGGTTATGTAAAAATAATAGATTTGCTGTTCTTTTTATTTGCCTTCTGCTTTTTGAGCCTTTAGGGTGCCCTGGGGTCACATTTTGAAACTTTCTCCACGGCAACAAGGTCTAGAAACTTACTTTTTCTTTAAGAATGAAGGCTGAAATCATCACATATCCACTTGACTCCAGGAGCTGGGGCTTTAAGGAAAACACTAAGTATCACGAGACTCATGACAAAATCATGAGAGTTGGCAACACTTCTTTCACTTCTGTTTAAAGGCTAGTTACTTTCCAGAAGGCTTTTAAACACAACCCGGCAGTGATTGAGTTGCAATTCTCACAGGAGAATATTTAAAACCAAACACCAGGAAAAAATCCACATTTTAAAGTTGAGAAAAAAATTGAATCTTCTGAGGTATATCAGGGCCACTGCAGGCAGGAAAAGAAAATAAACCGGCTCTGGACAGCTCTACCTCTTGTAAAAAAGTTGAAGGGGCAAATCTTCCAGTAGTTAATCAGCCAAAACTTCTGTTGCCATCAGCGCCTCCACTGATAGATAGTAACATGTGCTCAATAACGATACACTTCATACTTAAATATCTCAGCCATCATATTCAGGGCTACACGTTTTATACATGTTGGCTCAGGGACTATATTTTCTGGCATATTCTGAACAGTGCTGAGCACATAGTTGGTGCCCAGTGACTAATACGAACCATGACAATAAATGTTGACTTTATGGACTCCGTGGATGCAATTTTTGCTCTTTTTTCTGGACTTGGCCTGAATACAGCTGACACCCTAAGAATTTAAGGCATAAACACATCTCATACTCATACGACACTTTCTCATTCCTTCCTTTTCTCAAACTCAGAACGAAAAATGACAAAACAAAATGGTTTTCAGTTAAAATATAAAATTTCACAGCAGCCATTGCTCTACAGTCCAGCATGGGTCAGAACCTGCCACCCCTTTGGCGTTAAATGATCTCATCTGACGCTCATTCTCTCTCTTTCTTCATCCTTCCTGACCTCTGTTCTGCTTTTCATGCTGTCAACCATGACACCCTTCCCAATCGCCTGGGACCATTTGCTGGAGTCTCAGAGAGCTGGCCTCCTTGGTTTTGCTCCCATCTATCAGTGTTCTCTTTTTTTGCAGCATTCAGAACGGCTGGTCCAGTGGATAGCTCTGAAGGACCTGGGTTCTACTCCCCCGCCATGGACTTCCTATATGACCTCTGCCCAGTGCCTTAGCAACAGAGTTTCAAAGCTTTTAGGCACCCAAAGATGCAGCTAGGCATCTAGTGAAGCTTACAAAGCACAAAATACTGACTCCCTGCCCCAGGAAGCAGCACCTCTCGTCTGCAGAACCAGGGCCGGCTCTGGCTTTTTTGCCGCCCCAGGCAAAAAAGCCTCCGGCCGCCCCCCAGCCCCCAGCGCGGCAGGGGAGGGCGGCCGGAGCCCCGGGGGGAGGGCAGCGAGCCCCAGCCGGGGCTCCGCTCTCCCCGGCGGCCAGAGCACCGGGGGGAGGGCGGCAAGCCGCAGCCGGGGCCCCGCTCTCCCCAGCGGCCGGAGCCGGAGCACCGCGCTGCCCCCCTCCAGGTGCCGCCCCAAGCACAAGCTTGGTGGGCTGGTGCCTGGAGCCGGCCCTGTGCAGAACTCACATTCCACACTCAGGCTGTGCTGTACTTAAAAGCTCTTCCTGGAGCTAGGATATGCACTGCAACTCAAGCAGACCTCCTGTATGAAACTTGGGGGGGACCCCTCCTGCCCCCCCAAATGGCACCCCTGTGCACACATCTAAATAATAATACGTGGCCTAATTTTTCCAAAGTGCTGATCATGCAGCCATTCCCACTGAGTCAATGGGAGTTGCTGGGTGTGGATCACTTTGGCAAAACCAGACCGCTTATTTAGATAATTAAATATGGGTTTGGGAGCCTAACTTAGCCATTAGTCTAGAAAATCAGTGCAATACCATTGACACTGATGAGCTATCCTGATTTCCTCCAGCGGGGGATCTGGCCCAATATGTATAATATTAGAACACGTGCATTGATATCAAGATTTCCCTGTGTACAATCACAAAGGGGCAACACCTCCAGCTGGTGGAGATTGACGCCAGCATTTTCCACAAGCTGAGGGCGTGGTTCATGAGTTTACTTGGATTATTAGGTATTCAGAGGAGGGACTGTCTATTACTCTGTTTATGCAGTGCCTTGCACAAGGGGACCCTGTTCTTAGTTGGGCCTGACGTGCTATCACAAAACAAATTATAAATAAGTCGATCAAATCTATGTGTATATTTCAGAATAATTTTGTCCATCATTTTAAAATAACAAAACATTTTAAATTCACGGTAACTATTTTTTGTTCCCCTCATTCCCTTCCTTCTGGCACCAGGTTTTTCTACTGTGTGGTTTAGTTTGATCCCTTTTTACACATTTTAGTTTGGCTGTTTTTTCTCTATCAATATGAAAGGGTCAGCATTTCTTTCTGAGACTGTTCTTTGGGTTTTCAATAGTTACAAAGAGTAGCTACGGTAACTATCCCTGAAAGAGATCAGGGAGGAAGAGAGTTTCTTTGTATGGTGTGCAGACAGTTTAACCATTTTCCCTGTTTTTGTGGCTCTCGCATAGACACATGGGACTGTAAAACCACATAGCAGCAGGGAGGGTCTCAGAAGCAGGTGGTATGCCTGAAACTACTGAAAGCAGCGACCAGATGTCACACTGATGCGGTCTCTAGTTCCCCAGTGTTTCACTGGCACTCTCCGTCGTCTTTCTCCACCAATAAGCTTTCCGTTTCTTTCTCTCTCAAGGTACCTTTGCACTGCCATGTGTGGCCATGGGGGTAGGGTGACCAGACAGCAAATGTGAAAAATCGGGACGGGGGTGGGGGGTAATAGGCACCTATATAAGAAAAAGATCCAAAAATCGGGACTGTCCCTATAAAATCGGGACATCTGGTCACCCTACATGGGGGTGACTGCAGCATGTGTAGACATAGCTGAGCTGGGTTATTCAAGCTAGGTTGCATGTCGATCGCAACAAAGCCATGGCAGTGCAGATTTCAGCATGGACTAGTCACCTCGGTAATCATCCAGGGTCTCCGGTGGGCTTGTATAGCCCACACTGCCGCGGTTTCACTGTTACTGTTACCTCGGTTTCCCTAAAAACCAACCCAGGATTACACTTGGATTGGTTTTATTAAATGCCGCTATTGGATCAAACCGAAAAGGGATGGAGCTTATTCATGCACTCCCACATTCATCGCGTTCTTACCCTCATGCACCCACACACTCACACAGGTGGAGAGTTACCGGAGACAGCAGAGGAAGCGGAGAAGCGGAGGCATAGTAGGTCTGGTGTGTCTGCCTGCGGTCACGGATCCGGGCCAGCGAGCAGGTCAAGGAGCAGTAGCCTAGTGTGCGTGCCTTCTTCCTTTTTGGAACTGGACGGCTTCTGTCACAGACACTGAGTTTCCCTTCTGTGTCCATCACCGAGAAGCTTTTCCAGCCCTTGTTCCTTTCATGCATACCAGGTTCTTCTTTTCTTTACAGCACCCCATGATTGCCTTCTCAGGGCAGATGACATCAGACACGCCTGGCTCCTATCTCTGGCCTCTTTTCTCCTTGCAGTTTCTCTCCACCCAGTCCCACATATACTCCCTTGTTCACACTCCCTTATCTCCCACATATACTCCCTTGTTCACAC